GCGGGAAGCCAGGACAGATCCCCAACTTCAGCTGATCAGGAATCAGATTCAGGAGAGCCTGACTAAATATCAAGGGTATACTCTTATTGGGCCGGACTTATTCTTCATGGGACGCTTTGTGGTGTCACCCGCCTCGGCCCACATTCCCGACCTGCTAAAACATTTTCATGATTCCCATCTAGGGGGTCACTCAGGCATCCTAAGAACTCTCAAGCGGCTAGGAAGCCACTACTACTAGCCAGGGATGCGATAGGATGTTCAATTGCCAGTTGGGCTCTTACAGCCGCTACGGATCCCTGAACGGGTCTGAGAAGACATTTCAATGGATTTCATCACGGGCCTGCCTCGATCAGCTGGTAAGTCGGTAATTTTGGTAGTGGTTGATCAGCTGACCAAGTATGGGCATTTCTCAGCCCTGCCGCATCCTTACACAGTGGCCATGGTGGCGAAAACTTTTATCAAGGATGTAGCTGATGAGGGCAGACTTGGCCCTCCACTAACATCATGACACATGGCATCTCGAAACAACTGGGTGACACCCAGAACCACCTAGGCGACAACTTTCCTTAGCCAAAATGATGGAGTCCCAGCTAGCGACCTGGCGACCTGCCTCTAGCGCCGACCTGGCAACCTGCCTCCACCGCCGACTTGGTAGAAACCTAGCGAGCGACCTCGTCCACGACTCAGGGCGGTTAGCAGCACCTCGTCCAGGGCCGACCTGTGGTACCTCGTCAGTATTGGCTAAAGCAACATCGACGTAGGGAGCGACCTCCCTCGAGGGCTTGCCGACCTGATTGAGGTCCAGGTGGCGACCTACAAGACATGCTCGCCGTCGATTTCTGCATGCATCCCATCACTCCCGGGCCTCTCGGAAGTCAGCTCTCACATCGAATGTTTTGAGAGAAACCGAGTAAGGCGCAAAGATTGGCCTACGTGCACGACTACCTCCGAGGACTTCGGAGCAGTTAGACACGTCCTCCCAGAGATCCCGGACGTGTTGCGTGATGCTCACGCCAAACAATGCCTATATAAAAGCCTTACCTCCAACTCCAACGGGGAGATGCACAATTGTTAGTTCTCACAGCTCTCTCACATTTAGCTATCTTAAAATCTCTGATTCGCTAACTTGAGCATCGGAGTGCCCACCCCGGGTAAAGCAACCCGGGCACTCTGACACTATTTCCTTGCAAGTCGCATCAGAGCCACCTCTCCAGCTCGTCACCATTTAGCTAGGCATCAGATCTACCTCTCCAGCTTGTCACCATTCAGCTAGACATCAGAGCCACTTCTCCAGCTCGTCACCACTCAGTTAGACATCAGAGCCACCTCTCCAGCTCGTCACCATTTAGCTAGGCATCAGAGCCACCTCTCCAGCTCGTCACCACTCAGCTAGACATCAGAGCCACCTCTCCAACTCGCCACCATTTATCTAGGCATCAGAGCCACCTCTCCAGCTAGGCATCAAAGCCACCTCTCCAGCTCGTCACCATTCAGCTAGGCATCCATGCCACATTCCAGGTAGGGATTATTCAACCAGGCATCCGAGTCACCTACTAGCCAGAAGTTGTCGAAGTGCGCATCATCAGTAGCCAAATTGCATGGGACACCTCGGTCCATTGTTTCCGATAGAGAGCCCACCTTCCTCAACCAATTCTGGAAAGAGTACTTCCGTTTGCAGGGGACTAAGTTGTTCCACTCTACCAGCCATCACCTGCAAACTGACGGGCAAACCGAAGCTCTCAACAAGTGCTTGGAGGCATATTTAAGATGCTTTGTGGGGGAAAAACCCAAGCAATAGGCTCATTGGTTACCTTGGGCCAAATTCTAGTATAACACTACCCACCATTTAGCCGTCAGCATGTCGCCTTTCAAAGCCCTACATGGGCGTGATCCGCCTCCTCTGCTTCCCTATGAGATTGGGTCGACTCGGGCCGCTGAAGTAGAGGCCACCTTGACCGCTAGAGATAAAATTTTAAAGGTTCTCAAGTTCAACCTGACCAAGGCCCAAGCCAGGATGAAAGCTCATTATGATGCCCATCATAGGCATGTGGAGTTCCAGGTGGGTGAGCTCATCTACTTAAAGCTACAACCATACAGGCAGGTTTTAGTGGCCCAATGGGCATGGCACAAATTAACCCCTAAATTCTATGGGCCCTTCAAAATAGTTGAGAGGATCGGATCGGTAGCTTATCGGTTGGAGCTTCCACCCAACACCAAACTCCATCTGGTATTCCATATTTCGCTCCTTAAGAAAGCAGTAGGTCCTCACAACGAAGTCATAGCCACACTCCCCAAATTCACAGAGGACGAAGAGCTAGAGACGAAAACCACCTGCATTATTGACTTCAGGTGGATATGTCGAGGACACCAGGTGGTTCCTGAAGCCAAGGTGGAATGGTCTAAACTGACCCCAAAAGACACCACTTGGGAACCCTATATGTAGCTACAGGATCGTTTTCCCAACTTGGACCTTGAAGGCAAGGTCGATCTTAAGGCGGGGGAGAGTTGTTATGACAACGCCAGTCCACTAGAGCCTAGGCCTAGTAGCCCACGATGGATCTAGATAGAAGCCATTCATTTCACGTCAGTTTGTTAAAAGACAGAGGGGACCACTAGCCGTTACAGATGATTCGGTGCCAGAGTTGGTTACGCCTGCACATGAGAATATTCGATCCTCATGATTAGCTTAGTAGGCCATTATATAAGCTTCCCTTCCTATCTTCTCTATTCAAGGAGGTGAGTTTCCCTCGAAGAGACTACCGAGGTAGGCGGTAACTGCGGTACCTACCAAAGAACATTGAAAATTGGACTAAAGTTCTCCATATTAAGACATGCATGGGTTTAATGCATATACATAGACTAAGAAGTAGGGTAATACCATATACCATATAATAGAATGAAAGTAACAAATATAAAAGCAGCATCTCAATGTAAAAGAAAAAATCAATAAAAAATGGATGCCTATAATTTATCCCTTCTACATTTCATCAATAGTTGACTGGACTTTTTCTTTTCATGTAATAGGTGATTACTAATCCATAAATCCTATTAGGCTATTGTAGATCCCTTGGGATACTGTATACTCTTATGAAAAGATCTTTTATGCCACGGAATAAAGAATGCTAGCTTACAATCCATTAGTTGCTAAAAATTTTCTCCATAATGCATATAAATACGAAATTTAGAGATGACATGAACTTCAATTACAGCAAGGAAATTGAAATGCAGAATTGTAATTACAACATTGAGCAATGAAGGAATTACAAGCAACTATGATTATTTCATTGTTTTTTCTTCTGTTTCTCTTGTTTCAAATCCCCTTTAATTGTACATAGCAAGAAGCTCTTACCAGTGGTTACGGTTTCCATAAAAATAATGGATTTAATATCTTGAAATTTCTTAAGACTCTGTCTTACAGAGTTTCTTGAAAGAAAGAAAATAGAATGACCAACTAGAAATACCTAACAAGATGGTGATTGGGTGGCTGTCAGCGACACTTCTTCGGGATTTCTCTGATTACTTGTACAGTAAGTCCCATATGCAATTAAAATTCCAATCCACTGGCTTTAGATAAGGATAATGTGGTGATATGAAATGAATGGAAGTCCTACTCTCACAGAATCACCCCAAGAGTAATGGGGTGGGAAGGAGCTTGCTAAGTCAAGAAGAGACTGAGTGATCATCCTTGCCCCCCCCCCCCCCTACTCCTCTCTCAATTTGAGTAGGACCCAGTCTGTGGCACATGGAATTTGACCAACCATTAGGCTCAAAAATCAAGCACAAATCATACATTGATGAGAGAGTCAACTTAATTTATACCGGGTCTCTTTTCAGCACAAATCATACACTGAAATCATACCATTCCAATACACCATACCTCTGACCCAAACTCAGACCAAATAAAAAAACTCTTCTAGAAATTCTAACAAAAGCACACACTGTCTACATAGAAATAAGCAAATTTCGCACAAAGACATCAATTCTAAACCCCAATTTTGGGCTCAACAAATGGATATATGAGAGACAAAAGAGGGGGAAGAGCTTTCTTAGAAGCCTTTGGTGATGATGTGAGAAAGGGTTTGGTTGAATTGATCAGTGTTCATGAATTCATCTATACAGGAACTTTTGGTGGCAATGGCAACTTGTAACATTCCATGTTTGATTTGAGCTGTTCAAGAAAGGAGAGAAGGGTTTTGAATCTCAGGGATGTTAGAGAAGGCTGAAAGAGCTGCATGTGAAGGAAAATTTAAATACCATGAGTTTCAAACTTTATGGTGTTTGATGGAAACCAATGTTGCATGGACTCCCCCAAATGGATGGCATGTCCATGTGAAAAACAAGTTGGAGCCCAACACTCCAGAGATTCTTCAGGACATTTTTACATAACATTCATCTCCCTGGTTTATCTGACATAAATGAACAGCAATGTATAACATGAGTGCTATTTTTTGTATCAAACATTACTTGGTAACAAATGAAACAATTAAGACCCCTTTTTGAAGGTATATAATGTTAGAATTCAAAAAATATGAGCCGTTTTAATAGTATATACTTTTCTGTAGACATGTCTGTGAATCCACTTTTCTCATCTTGTCAAGTCAGACTCTTGGGCAAGCATCAGATTCCAACTACAATGGCTGTGTCCATGCAACACTGATGGAAACAGAATCTAGTGGGAAAGGAAGAGCAAAGCTGTACTAAACCATTGGATCAGAATACTTTTAGACCAAGGAAAAAGATTGAAATTGAGCCAAAAAAAGGACGGATAGATGTCCCAAATTATAAGTTTTTATCGACGGAATAGTGCCAGTTGTATCTATCATGGATAGCCAATCCCACAATCAGTAACCCTCTTCCCATGGATTCTGTCACACCACTAAATAGAGAAATATCTCTGTGAATGAATATAACACAACTAATCTGCAAATGACACAACTTCGAAGGCTTTACTATGATGTGAAATACTTAAAATAGATAAATGCATGTTTGGCACAATGGCATAAGCGGTGAAGTCTACTGCCAGTCAGTTATCAAAAGATTTTATCTGGAAATGGCATAACTTTAGAAGCTTCACTACCATTTGAAAAATACATGTATGGTACAATGACATGAGCTACAACCCTACAATTTAGTACATACCAATCCTGGGTCGTAAAACTAAAATACCATTTTATAAATCCATTTTCTAAAATTTGGATAACTGAGTAAGGTTTGGGCAACCACTGTATTCCTGGAATCATGTTACCAAGCTTTGTAAAGTTCATAATCTGTGTCGCATGTAAAGAAACAGAAAACAAGTATATGCTACAGGAAGAAGTGTCACCCAACCTCCCACTGAAAGAGCTGACGATAATGCTGTGTTGGATCACAAAGTATAGAGGTTTTTAATGACTCTGGATCCCCAGCATGCTTGCAAGTAACTTCCTCTATGTTGAGATTTCCATTGCCCCTAATAGCTCTTAGTAGTGATTCTCATAAATCAACATTCAGCTTCATAGCTGTGGAGTGAACTAACTCATAAGCTTTGTCCAACATGCCAGCACGATTCAATAGTTCAACCATGCAACCATAATGATCTATAGTCGGCACAATGTCATAGCGTTCACTCATGTATCTGAAATACCTAAAACCTTCATCCGAATTGCCCATATTTATGCATGCACATAAAACACCTACAAAAGTGATTGCATCAGGCCTCACATCTGCTCTCTCCATCTCAACAAACACGTCAAGGGCTTCCTCTCCTCGTCCATGAACACCCAAGCTAGTGATCATTGAATTCCAGGTTGCTAAGCTCTTCTTCTGCATCTTATCAAAAACCTTTTTTGCATCATCTATACTGCCACATTTACTGTACATATCAATAAGCGCCGTCCCAAGGAAAACACCCAATTCAAATCCATTCTTCAGCGCAAAGTCATGAATCCAGCTACCCAACCTCAGACTTCCTAGTTCAGTACAGGCAATTAACAAGCTAACTAAAGTAAACTCATTGGGTCTCACGTTTTCGAGCTGCATTCGTCTGAAAAGTTCAAAAGCTTCCTCAGGATGCCTATTCCGAGCAAACCCATTAATCATAACGGTCCACGACACGACATTCTTAGCCTGCATAACTTCAAAAATCCCGCGAGCAGCATCTAATTCCCCGTGAGCAACAAGACCCGACACCATAGTAGTCCAAGAAACAACATTCTTCACAGGCATTTTATCAAAAACCATGCACCCAAAACCCAAGTCGCCGCACTTGAAGTAAAGATCCATCACCGTATTCTGAACAAAGGCATCTCCCCAAAAGCCAAGCTTGAAAGCAACCCCATGGACCTCCTTTCCTTTATCAATTGCAGAAGAAACGATGCAGGCCCTGATGACGAACGGGAATGTGAACTTATCGGGTCGCACACCTCGACACATCATGAGATTGTATGTGAGAAGAGCTTCACGAGGGTTGTCGTTGAGGGTGTGGCCCCTGATCATGAGATTCCAGGCGAAAGTGGTCGGGCTCTGGAGCTGATAGAACAGGAGAGACGCGTAGCCCATTTGGCCGTAAGAAGAGCAGAGACGGAGCATGTTGGCAACCAGCACCTGGTCGTGGGAAAGCCCGGTTCGGAGGATTTGGGAATGGATTTGCTTGAGTTGTTTGAAGTCGGTGCATCTTTGGAGGAAGGATAGAGCTTCCCGTGAATCGAAGGTTCTAGTCCTTGGTCTTCTTATGTTAGAGGATGGAGATGGAGTTCTTGGAAGGGCGTCGGGAGAGAACGAAAGGGATAAGCAGTCCATGGAGAAAGCCCATGGAACAAGGAGATGACGAGAAGGGTGTCATGAGCCATAAAGACTGGAATGCGATACGGGAGTAAGCGGAACATGAACTCGTCCAAGCACCACAAACCAGTAGAGGATATGACTGGGATAGAGACGGAGGTGATTAGGGTGATGTTTGGCATGGACGATGATTTCTCACACCTGATTTTTTTTAAAACGGCGATTACTTGAATGAGTGAAAAAATCGCTCTTTTTGGTTATTTGGTATCATTTCCTTCATTCAGCCAATTTTTTAGGCTGTGTTTGGAACAGTCGGCATTTTCTTAATAAATGTTGCCACGTAGGTGCCCTATAGTCATTTGACGCGATAAACGTTTATTAGAGGTTTATCAGCTGTTTGGTGCGACTGTTTATCAAAAAAACACCAATAAATAAAAATGGGTGAATTTTCGTGCAATAAGCCATTGGGGGAAGTGAAAATTTCTTGCTTCCCCCAACGGTTTAGCATTTCACGAAACACGCATTTGATGTGGTGCATACGTGGACAGGGATGTAGCGTTGAGGGAGAGATATCTGGTGCTTCACAGATCAATGAAATTATGAAGAAAACCCCCATGCCCCAAACCCTTACCACTTGACTTTTCGCAAGGATAGCCACAGAAAGGGACTTACGCAAGGAGATTTGCTTCTCACGCTGACCAGAGAGGGGGTGCTGCCGGGAAGTTTGCCGTCAACCACTACAAAATCCCTCTCAACGCCGGCCGTATGTTTCATACTGACCAATGCGATTTTTTTCTTGTCTGGCAGCCCTAATCCGGTGAGGTGTTGTTGTTGCGCACACCGGGAAGGTGCTCCGTTGTTTATTTCCCTATCTGAATGGTATGTTACATGGTTTTCAAAACGGTCAGACCGGAAAAACCAGTAACCGGTCAGCCATTCGGGTCTAGTTTTACTAGAAACCGGAACATTGAAAAGTCAAAAAAACCGCTGACCCGAGCAGTCGAACCGCTAAACCGTTCGACCCGGGCAGCGGTTTGCAGGTTAATATTTTTATTTTTAATGTTTTAAATTAAAAAAATAAAATAAAATAAAATACCCATTATATCCCAACCAGTTTGAATCCCTTATTCGGTTTTCCCTTTAGCTTTAGGGTTATTTCTCATTTTCCCGAGTTCCCTCCTCACTCCTCAGTCCTCTCAACCCTCACACCCTACCGACCGATCACCTGCGGCAGCCATCACCTCCGACATCTGACGACGATACACACCGACGGTGACCGGCGAGCTTGCAGCGGCGAAAAGTCACCCTCACCCCATCACTTGCAACGACGTCCAATGGCGAGAAGATCCAGCACTTGCAGCGGCGAACGGCGAACTTGCAGTGGCAAATGGCGAGCTTGCAGGGACACTCGACACTCGGTAGTGGCACTCAGCACTTGGCATTGGGCATTGGCGAGCCCAATCCCAACTTGCAGGCTTGCAGCAACAGCAAATCCACTCAGCACTCAGCACTTGCAGGCTTGTTACGGCAACTTGCCTGCAACCAAGCCCGATTGCCTGAGCCCACCGGTGGCGAATCCATTGTCACACCACCATTACCAGCACTTGGTAGTGAAACCTTGAAGGTATAATTTTTTTTTCTGATTTTTTTTGTGATTTAATTGATTTTTTGAATTTTTTTTATTCATTTGGTTCATCAGCCCCTATTTGTTCTTCATTTGGTTCATCATTTTGCTTTGGACCTGTTAGGCAGAGGCTTTTAGTGAATACTTTATAGTTTATAATTAGGAGCAGCAAACGATAAGTTGATAGATTTACTAGCAGAAAGTTGTTGCTTGTATTTTTGTATCAGATTCTTGTTGATTATATGCCTTGCTGAACCCTCAAACTTCATTTGATGATCAAATGTTTAGTTCTTTGTTTAATTAATCTGGCTTAATTTGTTTTTAATTTTCATATGCATATTTTGCTTAATTTTCATATGATGATCAAATGCTGAAAGTTTGCTTAAATTTTTGCAAGTAATTTACTCTCATTTCTAATGGAGTGATTTTACATTTTGGTTAATTATTTGCTTAAGTATTTGCTTATATGGAGCGATTTTACATTTTGGTTGGTTCTTTTAGTTAATGCAAGGTTTTAAATTTTATATTTTGTGTTTGTATGAAGGGATTTATTTTTTAGTTGGGTTTATTTGATTGAACTAAGATGATGGAATCTCAAAGTCCAAATGCTAATACATCTAATCCAGTTCCATCACAAGAGTCAATTTCATCAAATGTTAGGGGGAAAACTGATTCTGCTTGGGAGTACGTTTCCCTTCAAGTTGACCTTCTTAATGGATCAAAGTCAATGACATGTCTTTATTGTCAAAAGACTTTTAAAGGGAGAGGAATTAATAGAATGAAACAACATCTTGCCCAAAGGAAATGTGAGATTGCAATTTGTCGTAAAGTACCCCATGATGTAATGTTCAAAATGGAGCAATCGTTGAATGAAATCAATGACAAAAAAAGAAGTGAAAAGCAACTAATGAATTTTGTTGACACTATAGCACAATGTGGAATGAATGATAATGATGATGATATTGAGATTAGAGAAATAGATCCACCTAGTACACATGATACCTATCAAGGGAAAAAACCAACTACATCATCGGGAAAGGGGAAAGCATCTTTAGGGCTAATAATTAGCCATTTTGCTCCACGAACCACTCTAGGTGCACAACCTGGAATTAAGAGTGTATTGGCATCTAAGGGAGTAATTAATCATGTGGACTATACTGTTATGAAGTGGTTGTATGATGCTTGTATTCCCTTGAATGTTTTGCGTTCAAGATATTTTCATCCTATGTTTGATGCCCTTGCTACTATTGGTCCAGGGTACAAAGCTCATTCGTATCATAATTGTAGGACCAAAATGTTTAAGGATTTATTTCAGGAGGTGCAAATGTCATTTGATAAACTCCGTAAGGATTGGGCTATATATAGTTGCATTATAATGGCTTACGATTGGACAGATACACGTAGCCGAACATTGATTAATTTTTTAGTGTATTGTCCTACAGGAACTGCATTTGTGAAGTCTGTAGATGCTTCTGAAACAATCAAGAGTGCATAGAATTTATTTCTTTTGTTTAAGGAAGTTATTGATTCGGTAAAAACAGAAAATGTTGTTCAAGTGGTCACTGACAATGTTGCAAATTATGTAGCTACAGGAAGATTGTTGGAAGCAGAATTTTCATGGATATATTGGTCACCTTGTGCAGCACATTGTCTAAAATTGATGTTAAAGGAAATTGGGAAAATGGATTATGTTGCAAATGTGGTTCAACATGCATCTAGAATTACCAAATTTGTCTATAGTCACATTTTCTTACTCTTAATGCTAAGGAAGAGACCTTATTGGACTGAGATAATACATCCTGGAGCCACTTGTTTTGCAACTAATTTCATTGCATTGGATAGCATTTTGAAGCAAATGCATGATTTGCAAAATTTAGTGACAGATCAGAGTTTTATTGATTCTAGGTATGCAAAAGATGCAAAGGGGAAGGAAGTAAGACAAATAGTTTTGGATTTTAAATTTTGGGCACAATGCAAAATGATTGTGGGTTTCACATCACCTCTTGTTAATGCATTGACACTTGCTGATTCTGAGTTTAGGCCTCCAATGGGGTATATGTATCATGCAATGTTGAAGGCAAAAGAATAACTGAAATAGTTTTTTAATTATAAGAAAGCTGAATATGGCCCAATCATGAGCATTATTGATAGAAGATGGAATAGATAAATCGGTCAGAGGCTTCATCTTGCAGGGTATTATTTTAACCTGACATTCCAATATAATCCAAAACCAAAAGTTAAATCCTCAGTCGTTATGTCTGCAGTTTTTTATGTCATTAAAAAGCTTGCAATCAAATTAGATGATGTGGAGATAAAGCTGAACAAAGAGCTTACAATTTTTGAAAATTGTCGTAGTAATTTTGGAAGACCTTTCTCAGTGAAGACATTTAAGTCAATACCTCTAGGTAATAAATATTTTTTCTTATATCATGTTTATTATTTCAATTTTCAATTTTATTTTATAAATTAAATCAACTCTATTTCATTGTATATAGGTGAATGGTGGTCAAGATTTGGTTGTGACGCTCCAAATTTGAAAAGGATTATTATACGGATCCTTAGCCAGACGTGTAGCTCATCCGGATGTGAATGCAATTGGAGTGTTTTTGAACGTATACACATGAAGAGAAGGAATAGGTTAGAGCACCAGAGGCTCAACGACCTACTATATGTTCATTGCAACCTGCATGTGATGGATGGGAAGTGTTTTAACTTTTATGTTTCATGATTGCTTTTTTTTAATGCTTGCATTGCATTTAATGTATCATTTATTGATTTGTAGGTGAAAAACTGAAAGTCTTGACCCAATTAAGCATGAACATGTTGATGTTGTGGAAGATTAGATAGTGCATGATAATGAGGATCCTCCTCTATCATTCCCTCATGTCGTGTGCCTTTATGTTTCAACAGATTATTGATCTACTAATGTTTAGTATTTCAATTCTTATGGCATTGAATGTGCAAAGGGTAGTAAACAAGTAAAATGCGTTAGATAGATGTGTAGTAACAAGTAAAATGACTCTAAAATTTGTTATTATGATATACTATATATACATTGGATGCGCAAAGGGTATTTTTGACCATCGGCCCATACTGATCCCCTATACCTGTTATTTTGGTCGTTGGATGTGATTTTCATCCAAAATCAAGCCGTTGGATTTCAAAATATGTGCAAAGAGTAGTTTGAACCATTAGATTTCAAAATATGGCACTCAAAAATCAAGGAAAAGTGCCACACCGAATCACCCATATGTCACACTTCTTGAAACGCCCTTCCAAACAACACAAGGTAGGAAATGTTTCTCATCACTGAGTTGGCAAATGCCTTTAAACGCCATTCTTGAAACGCCCACAAATTTGCCCAACCAAATAACAAAAAGGGAAACCATTTATAGGGTGTTTGGAATTATGGGCATTTATTAAATAAACGTAGCCATATAGGCACCACTTCAACATTTCCCTCATTATGTGAATTTGTACACATAAGGACTTGCAAATGTAGGCTTCAGTTTATGTGCACATACCATTGGGGGAAGCTTCATTTTAGCACTTCTCCCAACGGGTAGGCATTTATTCACTATTTTGCTGATGTGGTGCCTAAAGCTCAGTTTGGAAGGAGTACAAATACAAATTTGTAGAGTGCAAAACCTTGTATTTTGTATTATTTTGTATGTATTTGTATTGTACATATTTGTATTTGTACTCCTTCCAAACTAAGCCTAAGTGTAATTAAACGAGTTCATTATTGCTTTCCTCAGTTTTTCAAACAAATCAAGTACAAAATGTTTAGTAAATAAATGTCCACAGTTCTAAACACATACTTAAAGTGGCATTTATTAGATAAACATTTATCTAACAAATGCCCCCTTAAGAAAATCCAATGGAACCAAACATATACTTATAAATCATTCTTAAGATTGTTTGGTAAATAGTGAATTAGTGATTATTTTTCATTAAAGCATTGGAACACCTTCTCACCCCTGCCACATAGGATGCCTCCTCATCCAACAAAAATTGAAACCGCCTGAAAATTGGGGAATCACCAAATCCAAATGTGGTGACGCTTGTCCAGATCAGGCTGATTTCAGGGATCGATTTCTTGTTGATTTCCTAGGAATTGGCATAACTAACCGACCAAACAATTAAAAAAACCAAATTCTTCAAATCCTGATTGAATACAATGTGACATGGATTTCTCAAAATCGGAGTCCATACCAAAAATCACCTACCTCTATGAATAGTTCAATAATCAGTACCGAGTCAAATGGCTTGATACACGAAAGCGGGTAGCTATTTTTTTTGGGTAAAATACAAAAAATTTCCCCTGAAATTTCTATCAATCATAAAAACCTCCCTTGAAGTTTAACTTTAACAAAAACCTCTCCCAAACTTTTGAAAAACTCAACATAAACCTCCCTTCCCTCATCGTCCCGAACGGAAAACATTTGATTGATGCATTGTTTTTTAAAATACCCATTTTACCCCTTTTGTATATGCTGTTACATTAAATGAAATAAACTTTGAATAGCCCATTTGTCGCCCTCTTTTTCTCCTTGAAACTACATTGAGTTCAAACTCATGCCGCCCTTTTTTCTCTCTGAAACTCCATCGAGTTCAGACTCATGCCATCATTTTTTCTACCTAACACTTCATTGAGTTCAGACACATGCCATGAAGACATTATGCAAACCTGTGATGGTAAAAGCAAGCAGTTCTTACTATTGGTAAACCAATCCGGTAGAGAGTACTCCAATTTTTTTACCACAAAATGTCCACAAGTTCATTGGAAATCCAACAATAAGTATACACTTATAATGCTTATACAAAGAAATATGGACAACAGATCTCAGATCTTGTATTCACTTTCAATCTAGGTACTAGAATAGTGATGAAGAAAGAACTTTACACTCAGGCATACACAAAATGCCTATCTGCCACAATTTCCTCAAACACCAAAAGAATTCTGTGGGTATCTTTAAATGAAGAGGAGAACATGGTGGAGTAGTTTGATTTCTCATATTCTATAGTTGGCAATGCAGTAAACATATTGGTTGAGATCCAGTGTTACTCGGCCTTTCTTAGTTGTATCAAATGAATTAAGGCCCCATTTGGTTCGTAGGAATAGGGTCTGGAATCGGAATTGGAATGGGCTATTCCGATTCCAACTGTTTGGTTGGGCAGAATCGGAATCCCATTTTCAATCTTGCTGGAATGACATTCCCCCATTTGAGGGAATGGCCATTCCCTGCCCCTCCATTGAGAATGAAATCTCATTTCTTCTGATTCCAATTCCCTCCCATTCTCATTCTTGTTTGAACCAAGTAGACCATGGAAATAGACCATTCCAATTTCAATTCCAAAGGAATTTGATTCCGATTTCAATTGTGACTATGAACCAAATGAACCCTAATAGATTCCCGACAGATTGTAAAAATATACAAAGTGCTATAAAACACCCAATTGAAATCTTCCATTCATCTTCTAATTGAAGCTCTCACGTACTATATAAAAAACGGGAGAGTCAAGGGAAAACCCAACCTTGACTAAAAAAGCTTGATGAACCTCAAGAAGAAACTTGTTAAGAGCAACAAAATCTTCAAAGCTCATTGCTCCATTTCGATCGAGATCATACATTTTGATCATTTACTTGTTGGACAACAGAGAGAGCTAGGGAATTCTAGATCTCATACTACTATAGCTCTCTTGTGCTTAGTGATGCTCCCTGTCTTGTCTAAATCAACTAGTTTGAACCATGACTCCTTCAAAATCTCCGTGTTCTCCATTTCGTGTGGAAAGAGGAGTGCACTGTGCAACCTTCTCCGTGGTTGTTTAACAGTTTATACGTAATAACCGCTCCAATTTCATTTGCATTCACTTGAATTCAAAACATTATTTATCTAGTAAAATAAGTGCTTAGGTGCATCTCTTATTTAGAGACAGGCTTAGTACTGTTGTTGTCTCAAGTAACTAAAGATCATAATTCGAATTAGTGGAGAACTTCCTCTACTTGATTGCATTAGGAGACACCGAGTTTGCTGTTTTACTTTCTTATCCCGAGCTTCTTGCTCAAATGCGTGTTCCAATGGTTCTTCACTTGATTGTCAATTTGGCCTAGCACTCACCAGTGATTAAAGACCATATATAAAAGAAGCACCTAATGCTGTATTTACTTATTTTACACCAAATGAAGCATAGGAGACCATGATTTTGCCACAAGCAAAAGGGTAAAATGGGTACTTAAATAAAAAATGCATCAATCAAACATTTTCCGTGTGAGAATGATGGAAGGGAGGTTTATGTTTAATTTTCCAAAAGTTCATAGAAGGTTTTTTGTTAAAATCAAACTTGATTGATATAAGGGCAAAAAGATGCCCGCTAGAAACCCTAAAAAAATAACGATAATAATATAACAATGTGATGTATTAAAGAAATTGAATTTGCTGGTCACTGCACGCCCTCACAATTAATAAATACGGGAAATGTTCTCAATACATGGTAGAATATGCGTGTAAAACACCAGATGTGAGGAACAGATCCGGTGCTATCGAGGACTTCATCAAAACTATCTTACAATGGAATTGTATGGTGCAATCTTATAAGGAAAAGAACCATGGAGGGATCCAATGATGGTGGGTCCCCGGCAAGGCAAACAATTATTAAGACGAGATCAAATCAGTCCCCCACAACGTCTCACAGATGATGTCCCAATGCACGGCCGGGATGTGCTGTGGGACGTTGTGGGGGGCTGATTTGAATTCTATTAAAACATGTCACAAATTAATATTTCAGGAGTCGAGACCCTTTTTTAACGGGTCTAGGGCCCTACCCTACCCAACTACCCGAATGGTGTGGCAAGTGCATCGACAATGAGTCTACTTTAAAATTCGGTTACGTCGAACTGATGGAATCAAGGGATGGCCGGTTGGTGGGGTGGAGAGTTAACACTTGACAGAGATAAAGCAAGGAGGAAATGTTAACTGGAAAGAAAGGTGAAACTCTCACCCACTTTTTAGTCTTCTCATCACTTGCTCTGGTATTAGTTGCCATCTTTTAGGGTTTCCCAGCGAATATGAGCTTCCAAGATATCGAGAATGGCGGGAAGCTACCCACTGCCGGCCGTAGCTCTTCATCTCAGAACCCTTCTCAGGCTGTGGCAGCTGGAATCTTTCAGATCAATACTGCCATCGCTGTATTCCGTCGGCTTGTTGATGCCATTGGAACGTCTAAAGACACCCCCGAACACCGCCAGAAGATGTAATGAACTCTCTTCGCCTCTATCTGTCCCGCCATTTCTTTATTGGATTAAACCACCTCTTTGTGCTTTAATCTCAGTTTGGCTCCTCCTTCTATCTCCCTGTACATGGTTTTATGCAGACACAATGCCAGGCAACGGATTGGACAGTTAGTTAAGGAGACTTCTGCTAAGCTTCGAGCTCTGAGCGACTCTGATCATGGCAGCAATGTTAGTGTATGTAATACGCTTTTTTACCCTTTTATTTTCTATTTCCAATTTACTGTTCTGAAAACAAAGCTTAAACTTTTCTTGCTTGCTTGTGTGTGTGTGTGTGTGTGGTGGGGGGTAGACACCTCAACCCGGGTGAAAGCGGGACTCGGTCCTAGGTCTCCGCTACAACCAGCTAGAGACTTTACCAGCAGGCTAGCTGGCACCTTCAGCAAGTGCAGTAATTTATGTCTCAGAATCGATTTTTGGACTATAATTTTTCTGATTGGGTATTTGGAATGAAAAATTTACAAGCTGGATTGATTAACTTAGTCTGGCTTCAAATAGAACGGTTTGGTAAACAGGATTCATGTAACCAACCCATATAGTTGGGATAAGGCATGGTTGATGATGATGATTGATTAACTTAAATTTTTATTTGTCAAATAAGAAAAAAGGAGAGAAAGTTAAATCACATAAGATCTGGGAGGAATTCTTGTTCAACCTGGTTTTTTGTGAAAGTGATGCATATTATAAAAAGTTAGGTTTCCTGCAAATAGGGCAAAATGTGTTTTGCACAAAGAGATAGTAGGAAATAAATGCACAAACACACAGACAAGACACACTAAAGGGAAAATAAAATAGTCACTTAAACCAAAGTTAGAAGTCTGTTTTCAGCAATTTAGGCAAAATGGTTTCTGGGAAAATCGAGACTGAGCAATATACTTACATGCACGGATGCACATGTAAAGGGGAAAACAGAAAGTGATAGTCGTTCAGTCAATACTTTTATTTGGGGGTAATGATTCGGTCAATACTTTGAGATTGCATTAAAGCAAATTCAGCAGGGAACTAGGTGATCTGCATTATGGAAGTGGTTGAAGGTGGAGAAGAGAAACTACTGGCTATTTGAATTGGAGTACATGAGATTGGGTAACATTTCAAAGGCAATAGAAAGATTGGAATTTGAAAAGGAAAATGTGTTTTTAGTCGTAACAAAACAGAAAAGGAGTTCCAGAGATAGAGGAATTATAATTATTTTTTGGGTTATCTTGATAGTGCTTTAGTATTAGTAACTAAAAGTGTAAAATTGACTGGAAATGAACATTATGCAAAGCATGATAAAAATCAATTATAGCATCACATTACAAAAAAACTTTCTCTGTTACTTTTAAAATGTATTTTTTTATTGTAAAATGTAAAATTAATTAGCATGATTGCTGCTGTTTCCCATTAATTTCATGCTGAAGCCAACAGGAAATAAAGGTTTACAATTGGCGAAAAGGGAATCGATGCCATTCTTAGTAACATAAAGATAATTGTTGTATTTTTTGGACGATGTGGATTGTAACATGAGTATCACCAGTTGTTTATATGACCTTGGTTTATAATTTGTGCTATCCACTTAAAATAGCTGGATGCTCTCTTTTCTGCTAGCATCTAATAAATAAATTCAATACCTTGGTTGACCTTCCTGACTTGGCATGTTCTATGGGTGCCCTTCTTGATTGTATATAGTGCCCCAGAAACATTTTCCCCTTGATTTATCATCATCATCATAATCATCCAAGCTTTATCCCAATATGGGGTCAGCAACATTTTTCCCTTGTTTGAGCTATATAATTAGATTGTCAGAGATCCTTTCTATTTTAGCAATAAGTGACGTATTCTTTGGTGGATCTGTCAGCCAAGCAAGAAAGTAGAAGATGCTAAGCTTGCAAGAGATTTTCAAACTACCTTGCAAGATTTACAGAAAGTCCAACAGCTTGCTGCTGAGCGTGAATCAGCTTATTCACCTTCAGCTCCCCCGACTTCTTTTCCATCAAGGTGGAGAATCTATATTCAATGTACACATGCCTCTTTTTTTATTAATATCCGCATGTCTCAGTTTGTCATAATTTACCCAAATGATCTATACAAGTTTTCTGTTTTGGTAACAGCTCAGGTTCTGAAGACAATGTGACCCATGATATGGATGGGGAGAGTCAGCCTTTCCTTAGGGAACAAAAAAGGTACATAATTAATACCACAAACAGATCTTGTATTTATATCTGATTCTAACCATTCCCTATCCCTTTCTATTATGTATCTATGTGATAGTTTGGTCTTTTCTCTTAGTATGGGAATTATATTACAGAAAATACCCTTCAGATAGAGTTGTATACTACATGTTGTTGAGTATATAGTTGAGTTTTCCAAATTTAAAATTCATTGTCTACAAGCCTGCATTTTGAGTTTTGAGTTTTCATGGATTTTCCCAGATTCTCACAGTTTTACCAGGGGCTTGATGGGATTGATCAACTTGCTGATTTTAAGATTATTGGATTGCTATTTAAAAGCTTGGGAATACTAGCATAAAGGCATGAAGTTTAACATGACATTCATGTACTTAAAAATACAAATGTATGAATTCGTGGGTCTGGTTTTTAGACTCTAATCTGAGAAATAAAAATGGGGCATTTTCACCTTATATTTGGTTTTGGTTTGCTAGACTGGAAACGTAACACGTGGATCTGATTTTCTAGAGTGGAGATTTTTTTGATAGTAGAATAAAAGAATTTTTTTATTAAGATAAGAAAAATAAGTACTTACATGATGTAGACACACCACAATTCATTAAGTCTTACATTGAAATATTTCAGAACTAAAATACACAAGTTATGAGGTTTCCTGATGCAGCTCTTAGGTGGTCCAATAGGACGACCCAGAAATATCCCCCTCGACATCTTTAAATTCTGGATGCGCAAGATTCCAATCCAATATAATGTTTCCAATTGATACCCACACTCTTTTGTGACACTATGAGTACCATAAAAATTTTTCCATTTCTCTCATTCCAGATACCCCAAACCACAGCAAACAGAATCTACAAAATTTCTGGCATCTCAAAGACCCAAACATCACTTTACATGTGCCTTCCATTTCTCACATTGAAGGATTGGATAAATCCCTGTAATCACCCACTTTGTTGAAACAAAAAAAATGCAGACAGGAGGTACTACTGCTAGGGAATGAGGTTGCATTCAATGAGGCCATAATAGAGGAAAGAGAGCAAGGGATTAAAGACGTACAAATTGAAATTGGACAAGCAAATGAGATATTCAGGGACCTCGCTGTTCTAGTTCATCAGCAGGGAGTGATGATTGGTGAGATTCCAACATCTCAGTGAAGTGTTATTTTTCTGTTCAACTACTAATGTGCTTTTTTTGCTCATGCTCATTAATATTATTATCTACTGCAAGTCCCGGAAAACTAGTTTGTTTACATTTTTGTTGTGATTTATTTCTTGTAAGCAGATGATATCGGATCAAACATTGAAGCATCATCTGCTGCGACAGCACAAGCAAAAGTTCAAATATCCAAGGCCTCCAAAAGTGTGAAATCTAGGACATCCTGGGTAAGTTTTAAACATTTAGGGTCAATATTAGGTTAAAGGGTTAAATAACATGCTTCCAGGTGCTGAATCACCTCACTATTATTTGACCCTGATTATATGGTATTGCTGCATCATAACTGCAATATCACTTTCATTTCAAGAAGTGACACCAGGAAAGATGTGAAAGACTGACATTTAAAAAAGAATAAAAAGAAAAGAAAGCAAGTAACGTGATTAAAAAATAATATACTAGTTATACCTCACATACTTTCTGAACATGTCCTGCAAGAAGTATCTTTAAAACCAGAAACTAGATAAGACCATTTTCAAGACCGGTTCTAATTAATCAACCGATCAATAAGCAGGTCAGATGCCGATCCCATATAGTTGGGATAAGGCTTGGATGATGGTGAGGATGAATAAGCAGGTCAGATGGTCTGACCTGTTAAACTCGTGAATCACTATTTGGAACCATTGACTGTTTTCTAGTTAAACAGTATATGATCTTATTGGGTTTGTAAAATGCTGATTGAAAATTGCCTCATAATGGAATTCTTCAAACATTTAAGATGATATGACAGAACAAGTGTATAGTATGATATAAGCATCAGATAATCCATTTCATTAACATATAGAAATCTTCCTTACATTCACACCGGTAGAGGTGTAAATCGGGCTGGGCCGCCCGCAGCCTGGCACGGTTTTGGACCAGCCCGGCCTGACCCAGCACGATGGTCTGTGTCGTGCTGGGCCTGGGGTTTGAAGTCCATGGGCTGGCACGGCACGACACGATCAAGCGGGCTGTGTCGCCTGCAGCCCGCGTGCTGGCTATATATATTATATTATATAAATTATAATTATATAATAATATATAGTATATAATATATTAATAAAATAAACAATTTTTTTCAATTTTATTATACTAATTTATTTAATTATTGTATATATAAGCAATTGTTCATATAAAATTAAAATTTTAAGTTTTTTTTTCAAATTTTTAAATAAATAGGCAAAAATAGCTTTGGCCCACGTGGGCCGTGCCAGGCCGACCCCCAAAATTTTAATTGGAGAGGGTGGCACGGCCCATGGTAGGGCACGGCCCACATTTAGCGCGGACCGCCTACGGGTCGGCCTGGCACGGCCCACTTTACACCTCTACACACAGAAAGCTCATTCATCTATGTATTTACAAAAGAAGAAAATGACAGGTGAAGGAAAAGGAAGCAATAACATACCAGAAGAACTGGAATACAAACAAACAGCAAGAAACATAATAGATAATAAAGCAGGACCTCCCAATTCTCTTAACTTACCACACATACACAACATTATTAGTGGTCCCAAATGTTTGTTATATAATTATAAATACTAATGCTTTTCAAATAATGCCGTTTTTCTTATTATAATCTTAAATTATTGTGTTCATTTTACCAACCTTTTTTTTAATGTTATCCAACAGTGTTGGTGGGTGCTACTGGTTTTTGTATTGGTGCTTGTCATTGTTCTCCTTGTTCTTATAATATAGCGTGGTTTGCTATTGGCCTTACAAGTGCTGAGGTAAGGTTGGGGGTTCGGTTTGGAAGTTAAAAGCTTGTGTACGTCTGTTACCATTTTATTGTTTTTTTCCACGTAATGATTCTGTCATAAAATTAGATTTCTACCGTGTTTGAAGTTCCTTTTTGTTTTTCTGTTTTCCCCCACGCTGTTTGCTTTTCTTTTTTTTTTTTTTTTTTTTGGGGGGGGGGGGTCCTTTGGGTTCTGTAAGCAGATTATTGGTTTCGGTTCTTATTAGTGCAACTAATTCAAATATACAGCTCATGTTGGTTGATGCGTTTTCATTTCTCAACCACGAATAGTCTGATTTGATATGATTGAGTTTTTATTATTATCTCAACTTAGTGGAATACTGAGGGAGCACCTTGACATTTGCTGAACTTATGACACGTTGAAACAGAGAGAGAGAGAGAGACCCTCACTTTAGGTAACACGAGGGTCGAGGCCTATGGGCCATGGAAAAAATTATCTCTTGACATGGCCGTGGTTGTGCCTTCTCGGCAGCTCAGTGGCTGCAACTTGGTGCCCGTTTGCAACCTTGGCTGTTGGGACCAACAGCTGAACTGTTGGGATTTGGGAACGTTCTTGGGCATGATAGGTCAGCCCATACCCATCCAATGCTCTGTCCTTTTTTTTTTTTGTCTAAAGAATAGAATGCAATCACCCTTTTACCCCACACCCATGGTAACGTATCATCCCAAAAATGTTTTTGGTGCCCCAGTTTTTCGTTCAGAGGGTCGGAAGCTACGTTTGGTGAAAATTTCAAAGATCTGGCAGTCGGTCATTTAAAAAATTCCGGATCTCCTGCCCACGTCTACCCACAGCACACTATCCCCTGTGAATTGGGAATATCTCCCCTTGCATAATACTATGCAGAGGATGAGATGTTCTTCATGTGTGACTGTGATAAACGTGGGCAAGAGATCCGGACTCCATTTAAAGGGCTATCAACTTCAACCATGGCTTATTTGGGTGTTTGTTTCAAAGCAGCTGAACCAGCTTATTGCCTGTTTGAGGGCGGAAGTGCAACAGCTTCTGTTTTTTCAAGGTAGGTCTGGTAACATTTTAATACCGAAGATATTCTCAATGTACAGCTGTAGTGTCCTATGGGTAGGATTCTTCTAGATAGGATATTGGAGCTGTATCTGCTTCAGCCTTTTTAAATAGCTTATGTAGAGAATTAGGATCTGCTATTCACAGAGCACTGCTCACACCGACCTCACAGCGATATCCCACAGTGTATTAGGAACACCTCCCCATGAATAATAAATACAAGTACGGGAGATGTTCCCAATGTGTGGCCAGGACATGTTGTGAGGAGTGCTCTGTGAGGAGCAGATCCGGACTCTTATGTAGATAAGGCTTCAAAGCAAGTAAACAGGTTAGCTAAATCTTGAGCATCCCTCCCTAATGGGTCCTTAGTTGTCTTCTATCATTTTCAGAGTTCACATCTGCACCCCACAACGTCCCACAGCACATCCGTGCCATACTGGGAACATTTTCCGATGATAGTACCAGAATTGATGATGTCATCATTGAGAGATGTTCCTAATACATGGCGGGGATATGCTGTGGGACATTGTGGGGCATCCCACGGCACAGATGTCAACTCATTTTCAATGCAAATAAAAAATAAATGAATTGACTTAGAGAATGGAAGGATTGAAATGAATTTACCCATTCTAAAATCCCAAGTGTGCAATGATAACTCCGTTGAAAATCCTCATCATGAAAGAGAGAAAAATATCATTGATAGACAATACCTACTCTAATAATGCAAATCCATTAGGTGCTCAAAAAAATATCATCACCAATACAAATCCTCCAAGAAAAGGGTCTTAGACCAATATACATAGAGCCATAGAGAAAATAACAAGAGCGTGAAGGATAATCTTGTGAGAAACCTTGCTTGCTAATTTATGGACAAACACAAACGAGCACCGACGAAAATTAGAGCAGAGCTCTCTGCAATCTGCTAAAATCGTATGGAGTTGCCAGGGAGGAATAAGGTTCTCCGCATTGATAGACAATTATAATGCTACGTAAAAACTAAAATGATGTATCAGTACTTTCTAATGCGACTAGGGTGGTAATTTTTAACCCAATCCGCTGGACTCACTCAACCCACCCAGTATCTAATCCACTCAACCTGGCGGATTGTGTGATTAATCCATCACCTAATCCATCCATTTAAATGGGTTGGGTTATGGATAATCATTGGATTAATTTCTTAATCTTTTTTTATTTTCTTCATTTGAATTAAATAATTTATAATTAATAAATTAATTTTCTATTAATTATTGATTAAATTTAGTTTTGTCTTGAATCAATACACTTCACCCAACATAAATCCAAATCAATTTGACCAGAGTCTGAACCAGTTCAACGCGGTCTGACCCGATCTAGCATATATTGATCCAGGTCGACTCGGATCCGAAATACCCTGGGTGGGATGATTTGGTGTCGCTTGCTCTGTCTGAAATTGGGTCGTCTGGTCCAGCCAATATCCACAGTCCGATCTAGCCTAGTACAAGCAAATCCAGTCGACCCGAATTCGAAATGGTTTTGAGTGGGATGATTTGGCCTTTGTGTGCTTTGCACGATCTGGACCGTCCGTCCAACCAATATCCACACGCCCAACCCGATTTACTTACATCAACCTAATTTGGACCAACTGGTCCGGTCCAAATCCGTGCACAAACCTGATAAGGTCCAATCCAAGTCAATCCACCATCGATTGGACCTGTCCGATCCGATCTGACTGGACTGATCCAGATCTAAACGGTTTAACCACCCTTGAACCCAAGTGGTTTAAGTTGGCCTGACCGGTTTGAACCTAAGTGGTTCGGTCAAATCCAAAATCCGAACATAGTCAAATGGCTTTGCCGCTTGTGTAAAAATTACATGCATATAATGTGATTTGAACCTTCACCACTTGTGTAAATAGTAACTACAATTACCACCAAGCTATGACCAACTTAATTGTTAAGAGAGAGTTAGTTTGTTTTTTTAAGTCCATAAATATAAGATTAATGGGTTTGGGCATATTGGATTGGGTTAAAGCGGGTTTGGGTTGAACCCAACCCATCTAATTTTATATAACTGGGTCATTAATGGGTTGGCGGGTTAGATGGTTGGGTTGAAGCTCAACCCAACCCGCCCAATTGCCACCCCTATATGCGACATCATACACTTGTGCAAGACGACTAAGGTTACTTCAACCTTCTTATTTTGTCTGGCTGGTTTATAGATGTTGATTATTTTTGTTGCTAAAATGTCAAATGGCCATGCCGGTATATAGGGTTGCCAATGGATTGGGTTCGATCCAACGGACTCGATGGATTCAAATCAATTGGGCTAGTTCTGGTTCAAAGATTTGATATCGATGGATCAGTTATGCTTCCTGATTTATTGTTTTAGTTATTATCGGTTTGGAACTAGTTCTGCCCATCTCGAATTGACTATATATATATATATATATATTAAATGTTTGATATTTTTAACAAATTTATTATAATCGGGTCCATCAAACCCAACCCAAAATGACAACCTTACTACTATCCAAGATCGCACGCGCTGTTGAAGATGGAGACAACTCTAACTCTAATTGCATCCATGTGTGATAGTGTGAATTACTTCAACCACAACCGTGAGGATAGGTAAGCTTCCTTATGGATTTATTCAGTCATCACTCATCAAGTAAAATAATTTCATATTGTAGGGCTGGCAATCTTGACCCCAATCCATTTGACCCACCCACCTTGAAATCCACCCATACCCACCCAATCTATTGGCGGGTCAATATGGGTCGAGTAACCCACTAGGGTCAGTGGAAAAAGGGTCAGGGTGGGTTGGGTCGAGTGTACCAATTAGGGTCATAATGGGTTAGGTCGTGCGGGTCAAGATGGGTTGGGTCAAAGTTAGCTCTATCTATATTTGCCAAATCTAAAAAACATAGCAGTTGAAGTGACTCAAACTCAGACCTCCTAACACATCTATATCTCATTAGAATTCCAAACCACCATGCTATATTTCATTTTGAGATTAAAAGTGAAATAAAATAGATTTTATTAACTTTCGTGTTCACGTGCAATTTTACACAAAATCACTTATACAAAAACAATTTTATAAAGTAATTTTATGAAAAGGACTTTTACAAAAGTACTTTTACACGAAAGTACTTTTATGGAAGCACTTTTACACGAAAGTACTTTTATGAAATCACTTTTACAAAAGTACTTTTATGAAAGCACTTTTATAAAAGTACTTTTATGAAAGTACTTTTACAAAAGCACTTTTACATGAAACACTTTTATCAAAGTACTTTTACGAATACACTTTTATGAAAGCATAAAAGCACTTTTATAAAAGTACTTATGTGAAAGCACTTTTATAAAAGTNAAAGCACTTTTATAAAAGTACTTATGTGAAAGCACTTTTATAAAAGTTATGCGTTTTTTGGCAATTTTTCTACAACTTTTTGTAATTTTTCTATATTTTTTTTGCAATTTTTTGGTATTTTCTACATTTTTTGAAAATTTCTGGTATTTTTCTGCATTTTCTACTAAGGCTGTTCATGGGTAGGTTTGGGTCGGTTTACTGGTGTTTTTCCAACCGATCCGACCTAATCGGGTTACCTAGAAATGAAACCAAATCCGATCTATTTGGCATTACCTATTTGGTGTAAAGGACCTTAGAGAGTAGAGATCCTTTCTTTAAACCTTTCAAAAAATGCAAGAAGCTATCATGCTAATATTTCTAAAGGAGTAAAGGTGTAGGGAATAGGACTAGGGATTCCTTGCCTTGCAATGCTTGCCATTAATGGCATTCCTAAAGAGAAGACTAGAAACGAATTGAACCGTCAGTTTACGCTTTTTTGTAACCCGAAACCGACCGATGCTGAAGGAAAACCGGCTGACTCGGGTTAGGTTGGACTGGGTTGGTCGATTTGGTTGGTTTGGGTCTTGTTATGAACAACCCTATTTTCTACAATTTTGGTGCTTTAATGCATAATTTTTTGCATTTTTTCTGGTGTTTTCATGATATAAATTAAATATAAAAATATATATAACATATCTAAAATATATCTATTGATAAAATATATATTTATACACATATATACATATGTGTGTGTGTGTATATATATATATATAGGTAGATAGATAGATAGAGAGAGAGAGAGAAGAGAGACATAATACATATATATGATGACATGGAACGATATGAACCGATGACCCGTGACCCGTGAACCGGAGACAAAAACGGTTTGGTCTCTGGGTCGATTTTTAAAAC